CGACGCGGCGGGGCTGGAAGCGGAAGGCGGGGATGTCCACGGGGATGGTGAGTCCTGGGGACACCCCCGGCATCCCCGCAGCCCCAGGCTGGTGCAGCGGGTGGTAGAAGTCTGCAGAAAAGTGCTGGAAGGCAAAAGGGATGGGTTAGGGCTGACCCCGCAGCCATCCTCCGGCTCCACCACAGCCCCCACCAGCCTGCACACACTGAGGGCACTGGGGAGTGGGTCAGAGCTTATATTACGTGGCAGCAGACAAAACCCTTCCTTTTCCCTCCTTGTCCAGAACTGCTATCTAGTGCTTTGCTGAATTTTGAAAAAAAAAATTAAATCTGCCAGTTTGTTCACCAGCTGCTTTTGGAAAAGGAGACTTCTAAAAGCGTCGTATTGGAACTCTTTACAATAAACTGTTCTGAATGAACCTGTAAATCCCTCCTGAATGTACCTGTTCTAGGGAAACAGAATTAGCCTGTTCTGAACACAATACTCAGTAAACACTGGACACGCTTTAATATCACAACACCCTGCTGCCTTCTGCGGTGCCCTGCTCCGACCGAAACCTAGATCACTTCCAGAAGCAGTGTTTGCTCATTTTCCTAGCTGCGTCCTGAACAAGAATTAAACAAATATAGCTAAAATACATAATTTTAAATCTGTGAAATAGACCTATATTGTTCTTAGTGTCTAGCTAGGGATTTGCAACTGCCTCACGTTACAATTTCCCCTTCTGCTACACCCACCTGCCTCCTTTAAGACACTTCATTTCTTAAAAACCCTCTTTGCTGAAAGGCCACTTACCATATTTTTGGATGCAGATGGGGCTCCCGCACAGGTTGAGTGCTCCAGGACGCCGGGCAGAGCAGCCAGAGCAGTGTTGGTGTCTCGGTGTGTTGCTGGGTGTGCTGTGTACTGTGGTAACGCGAGTCCTGGCCAGCCCACCACCCTGCACACACCTGTGCCTCCTGCACAGCCTGCGGCTACTTCTGTGCTATCGGGAGGGTCAGGCAACCCAGGGAGACGCTGAATAACTGCGTGCACGGTGCCAGAAAGCCAAGCTGTCCTCGGCTCTCCTCTGCTAACTAACAGAGGAAGAGGGTGCAGTGGTTATCACTGCCTGTTTGCAGCAGAAAGGATGCCCAAAGCAGCTTTTTCGCCCTAAATTCAGTCTTCCAAATGTTGTTTGCAAGTGGGAGGCTCCAAAGCTTGCATTTCACCAAGGTTTGGCCCTACCAGGCACACAGGGTGATGGTGGTATGGGCAGAGCAGAGCAAGGGGCTGCTAGGCTGAGCCAGCCCTGCATGCAGGGTTTTCCAACTGAGAGCCTAGCAGAGACAGTTTTCATGGTGCCTGCACGTGTCCCAGGAGAAACTGATCCTGTTCTCATCTGGTTTTTGTTTTTTTTTTTTAAATGCTGAAACAACCACAGGGTTTCCCAGGAGTTATCTGGGGTTGCACAGGATGGAGCTGGTCAATGCTGATACTGCAGCCAGTGAGGTCTGCAAGGCCGTGAGCACTTTCCATCCCATGGGACTATTTTTCCACCTCTACACCAGGGTCCCCACTACCTTCACTGCCAGGATTGCTTCACCTGCATGGTGCTTCCCGTGTCCTCACGAGGCTGGTTTGCTCTCAGTGCAGCTCAGCAGCATTCAAGCCCACTGCAAACTCTGCAAAGCTCTCTCAGGGACAGAGGGTGCCCTCCTGCCCTACATGAAGCCCATCATATCTCTGCCTTTATCTAAGGCTACTTAGTCAGCTCGTCAGGCACCTAAATATCTTTTTGCCTGTAGTCCCACCTCCCACCAGGGCCCCTCCCTGTTGCATGTAAATACTAGGGGTCAACGAGTGCATTAAACCCGTCTGGATTGACCTGGGTGGTTCTTTAAAGCACCTGTTAGCTTCACACCGGATTTACCTGACCTTCTCTTCTGTACCACCCCTCTCTCTCTTATTCCACTGCCTCAGGACAGCAGGAGACAGGAAAGCCTTGATTCAGGGCTGCAGCTAGCCGAGGAAGGGGTCACACACTGCCTCAGATGAGGCATGAAAGCCTCCGGGAACGGCTGTGGATCACTGTGAACATCGTAGTTAATCATAGTTTCCCTCTAGAGTTTGCTTTTTTGGTTTTTTTTTGGTGCCTACCTAAAAACACCGGATCAGCAAGCCCCTTCGCTTCCAGGCTTGTATAGCCAGCTAAGATCATTCCTGTTGTCACTGCTGTGACACACACGCCGTTAGCAGCACTGCAATGTCAGACAACCCAATTCATTGCACCAGGCAAAGTGAAGTGTACACAGGTATGAATGCATACATGTACATATACACATATGTGTATATACAGATGTAAATATAGCCCTGACTCATAGCTGCATGTTACGTAGGCATGTTGGGCAACCCTGTGTGGTCCCTGCAGGTGAGGATTTGCTGCATGAATTAAGAAAATCCCAAAGAGGAAGGGTTTGCAGGGACCACTAATTAAAAATCGCCTAACGATCTACTGCATACTCCAGGAGGCAGGCTGTGTTGCACAACCTCGTTAATATTAACAAGGTCTTCACGCACCAAAGCCAGCTGTGTTTCACCTGGCCTTTAATGCCGACCTGCTGCTTAGCAGCACGGCTGCGATTGCCCCATCACCTACTTCAGTCTTGCCTGTGGCTGCTGGAGCCTGCTGGGTTTTCCCCTCCACTTCTTTCAAAATGCTATATATAAGGCCTCAGACAGCACAACCATGGCTTCAGCAGCACGTTGGTAGGGTAAAATCACTGCATTAGGCAACCTGGGAACACAGCTCTGAAGATTTATTTCTTCTCTTCAGTTCTTGCTTTCATTTGCCTGGGACAGGTCTTCAGCTGGTGTAAAGCAGTAGAAGTGTTTTGACTTCCATGCTGTAATATAATGCAACGTCAGCTGGTGCGATGGAGCTGCTGGCAGAGGTCATTTTCAGCACCCACGAGGGAAATGCTGGCGTTCCTTCACTAGGACTGAGATTTTGCCACTGGGTGATGAGGACATCACCATCAAGGGGTGCAGGCCCATCGCAGAGGTAGCAGCTAGTACCACCCAGCAGACCTTAGAGCTGAAGGTGGTCACCTGCACTGTTTCCACTTCACCGGGTGAAAACCAGCTCCACCGAAGTGCTGGTAGAGTCAGGTCTCCAAAAGTGACGGGCTTTCATTTTTCAGGATGGCAGGCTCTGTGTTTGCTGTCCTAGCTCACTGCTGCTGGGGCAGGCTGTTGCATGGTCCTCTTCCCTGCAACCCTCTAGCCTTTGGCAGGGAAATTTCTCCTCATTTTGCTTTCTTCCACCCTTCCCCGCAGACACACTGGGGCCCTCCTCACCTCCCTGAACTCTGCAAGGGCTTCTTCACTCCCCAGGTGCCAGCATCCCTCTGCTCCTCTGCCGATCTGGGAGCCTGCAAATGTTGGGAGATGCCTTACCATGAGCAGAGAGGTGTCAGGAGACCCAGACTCTGCTCATGACCTGCTCGAACAGCTTCCCCACCTCCTCCGGACCCTTCCAAAAAGCGGTCATGGCCTCCCTCCCTTTCTCAGCTTCTGCTTTCACCAAGATGGGATGTCCTGGGACTCCCGCCTAGCAGCAGCAGCTCGCCCACACGGCTGCAGGAGAAAGCCTCCATGCAGGACCTGCACTGAGATCAGCTCTGCTTGCTGCCACCAGCCCTGCTTTGGTGAAAGTCCTGACAGTAAACAACAGGCAGGAGAGACAAGTGAGAAGGGGTTGGCCCTCATCTGCAGAGGAGCTGCTACGTAACCCAGCAGAACCTCGGGAATGTTTCTCACCTCAGCCCTCCCCTCCTGCAGCCCCTCAGCCCAGGAAAGTCAAAGCCGTGCAGGAAAAGAAGCTCCCGACGCTGTGGGCAGGCAAAACTCACTGCAGCAGAGCAGGGAGCAAGGATGGCACCAAGGTGTGAAACTCACGGGTGAAACTCACGGTCCCAGGCTGAGCTGTGAGAACTTCACCCTGGCAAAGGGAACAGCAAAATATTCCCCCCCCCAGCCCCGCCACACTGACAACCCTCAGCACTCGGCTTGGCACGGTCTGCCCTTGCACCGGTGCAGCTCGACTGAATTTACTGGGGTGGTTGTGGGGCTGGAAGGAGACGTGAGCCCGGTGTCTAAACACGGCACGAAGCGTGCATAAATCCTGCACACAGAGGGCTTTCTTCTCCCGATCAACCCCGCTGTGATTCCTCGCTGCAGAACCCGGGCGGCCGGTTGCAGCGTGCCGGTCAGCTGCTGTGTGTACAGAAGATAGCATTGTGCAGATGGCAAACATTTGATGACGGGCCACCGATCCACCCCCGCCTTTCTGCTCCCAGGTTAAAAACAGCTGCTCAGGCAGACTCAGAAGGGATCTGCACGCTGGGCTTCTTTTCAGGGGGTTGGGTGGATTGGCATCATCCTGGGAAAAAAGTAAATGCAAGGGGATGCATTGCTCTCCGGCAGAAAAAAAGAGTCTTTGGGTGCCCTGCTGGGGTTGAACGGGGATTTTTCTCCTGCTTGGTCCTGCTCTGGACAATACATGGATGGCCCCAGAAATGGAGCAGCACAGGGGGGGGGTTCAGAGAGGCTGGGGGGCCCGCGGGAGTGGCAGCTTCTGGCTGCTGGCAACAGCAAACCCTGCGGGAACCAGCACCTTCAGGGTGAGCAGGATGCCAGCGAGAGGGAAGGAGACCAAAAAAGAACATGAAACAGAGATAAATCTGCAGAAATAGATGGCACAGCTGGATGAAGGTGACTGGGGCCTTTCGAGAGCTGCTGCACCTCATTTGCAGAGCAGTTGAAATGCATTTGATTCAAAGGGATGTGGCAGCCCTGGAGGGGCATCCCCATTGTTTCTTGGTGCCTCAGCTTCTCCTTTCCGGGGGGACATGTGACTCTCTCCAGCCAGAACTGACCTCGGAGGATGGGGCAGTGCAGCCCCTTCCTGGAAGGAGCCAAAAAGTACAGGAGCACAAACATTTGAACAAGAGGACTCATTTTCTAGGGGTGTGCAGGGGAAAGCAAGCACAAAGGAGTGGTGGTTTATTAGCCATTTTATTTTCACTTGCA